TCTTTGTCCAGCCCAAAGACGCATAAAATTGTTCATCTCATAAAAGAAGCAATTAACAGACATCTATATATTTGAGAAGTCAAATATGTGTCAGGACCTTTGCGACTTGTTCTTGCTGGAAAGATCAAATCCGATGGTGCAAAATGCACGCTCCTGCAGGAGGTTCACGCTCAATGCAAGCCATGCATTCGAGAGACACAAATTATTCTTGCTTGGTGCAGCGTCGTGACGGAACGGCGCAAGCGTCTGGCACCCCCCCCCCCCCCCCCTTTCCCCTCTCTCTCTTTCTCTCTCTTTTATCATTGATTTTTTAGAGAATACTGTTTATTCCTGAGGGACTTCCCCTTCCGTTTGGGGCTGTTAATTCGACAATTTTGTTTGTGTTATTTAATAAAAATAATCCTCCTTTCTTTTTTAACTTCGTTGTTTATACAAAATATGGAGATGGTAAAAAATTGGGGAAGAACTTTGGAACGACACTCCTGTGAGACACTGAGCAGCGGCCAACGTTCGGCTGTCCCTCGGAGGCCACTAGGATCTTTCTTTTTAGGAATCCCTCCCGTACACAGTTGTAGCGTCAGATTAATAAGTCCCGTTTAGTCCTTTTAGTGTTTTTGTTCCCGGGGTTAACTTTCTGAGACAGTTCAGCAACAACGAAAACATGCTCGAGTGTCTCAATGATGTGTACATGTGAAATGGGTCGTGCAACAATATTTGTACTTTCAGTAATTACCGCTAAAAGCTAATCCCTGACGTGGATAACTTCCAAGAACGCCTGTTAATTTTCCTCTTCGCTCAACGGCAGAGGCAGTAAAATAGAAGAAAGAAAGAGCTTTCGCCTTCTGAACTCGCTATTAGAACAAGCCCCCACGTGATTTGACGCTAATTATAATAGATATGCCGTCAGTGTTTATCATAGTTATGCGTTGGGGTTGGTAAAAAATAAAGTTAGTCCTTTTATACCCTTGTTACACGGGCACACTTAACTGCAGTTACGCTAAACCACAATTAGCGCACAATACTTGCCGACAACATTCTGCGGCGATGCAGCCAGAGCTATGGGCGAACGTGCGCTTGAGCATCTTGAGCACCCATCAAAGCAGTGCACGCGCCCTCTTCACTTCTTTTGAAATAGCTGTGCGAGGGTATAGTGCGGCATCTGTGCTGCCACGTAACCGCAGTTAAAGCTGAGTTAACCGCGGTTAAGTGTGCCCGTGTAACAGGGGTATTAGTGTTTTTATTCTCGGGGTTAACTTTCTGAGACAGTTCAGCAACAACGAAAACATGCTCGAGTGTCTCAATGATGTGTACATGTGAAATGGGTCGTGCAACAATATTTGTACTTTCAGTAATTACCGCTAAAAGCTAATCCCTGACGTGGATAACTTCCAAGAACGCCTGTTAATTTTCCTCTTCGCTCAACGGCAGAGGCAGTAAAATAGAAGAAAGAAAGAGCTTTCGCCTTCTGAACTCGCTATTAGAACAAGCCCCCACGTGATTTGACGCTAATTATAATAGATATGCCGTCAGTGTTTATCATAGTTATGCGTTGGGGTTGGTAAAAAATAAAGTTAGTCCTTTTATACCCTTGTTACACGGGCACACTTAACTGCAGTTACGCTAAACCACAATTAGCGCACAATACTTGCCGACAACATTCTGCGGCGATGCAGCCAGAGCTATGGGCGAACGTGCGCTTGAGCATCTTGAGCACCCATCAAAGCAGTGCACGCGCCCTCTTCACTTCTTTTGAAATAGCTGTGCGAGGGTATAGTGCGGCATCTGTGCTGCCACGTAACCGCAGTTAAAGCTGAGTTAACCGCGGTTAAGTGTGCCCGTGTAACAGGGGTATTAGTGTTTTTATTCTCGGGGTTAACTTTCTGAGACAGTTCAGCAACAACGAAAACATGCTCGAGTGTCTCAATGATGTGTACATGTGAAATGGGTCGTGCAACAATATTTGTACTTTCAGTAATTACCGCTAAAAGCTAATCCCTGACGTGGATAACTTCCAAGAACGCCTGTTAATTTTCCTCTTCGCTCAACGGCAGAGGCAGTAAAATAGAAGAAAGAAAGAGCTTTCGCCTTCTGAACTCGCTATTAGAACAAGCCCCCACGTGATTTGACGCTAATTATAATAGATATGCCGTCAGTGTTTATCATAGTTATGCGTTGGGGTTGGTAAAAAATAAAGTTAGTCCTTTTATACCCTTGTTACACGGGCACACTTAACTGCAGTTACGCTAAACCACAATTAGCGCACAATACTTGCCGACAACATTCTGCGGCGATGCAGCCAGAGCTATGGGCGAACGTGCGCTTGAGCATCTTGAGCACCCATCAAAGCAGTGCACGCGCCCTCTTCACTTCTTTTGAAATAGCTGTGCGAGGGTATAGTGCGGCATCTGTGCTGCCACGTAACCGCAGTTAAAGCTGAGTTAACCGCGGTTAAGTGTGCCCGTGTAACAGGGGTATTAGTGTTTTTATTCTCGGGGTTAACTTTCTGAGACAGTTCAGCAACAACGAAAACATGCTCGAGTGTCTCAATGATGTGTACATGTGAAATGGGTCGTGCAACAATATTTGTACTTTCAGTAATTACCGCTAAAAGCTAATCCCTGACGTGGATAACTTCCAAGAACGCCTGTTAATTTTCCTCTTCGCTCAACGGCAGAGGCAGTAAAATAGAAGAAAGAAAGAGCTTTCGCCTTCTGAACTCGCTATTAGAACAAGCCCCCACGTGATTTGACGCTAATTATAATAGATATGCCGTCAGTGTTTATCATAGTTATGCGTTGGGGTTGGTAAAAAATAAAGTTAGTCCTTTTAGTGTTTTTGTTCCCGGGGTTAACTTTCTGAGACAGTTCAGCAACAACGAAAACATGCTCGAGTGTCTCAATGATGTGTACATGTGAAATGGGTCGTGCAACAATATTTGTACTTTCAGTAATTACCGCTAAAAGCTAATCCCTGACGTGGATAACTTCCAAGAACGCCTGTTAATTTTCCTCTTCGCTCAACGGCAGAGGCAGTAAAATAGAAGAAAGAAAGAGCTTTCGCCTTCTGAACTCGCTATTAGAACAAGCCCCCACGTGATTTGACGCTAATTATAATAGATATGCCGTCAGTGTTTATCATAGTTATGCGTTGGGGTTGGTAAAAAATAAAGTGCGGGTTGTGCTGTGGATATTGTTAGAGTTCGGCTATTCTTATCTTTGATTGAACGCGAACCGTTACCCGAATGTTGGGTGAATGAATCCGAGCACTCGACTCGGACAACCGAATACGTCACGGTGTGATGCGAGTCGCGGTGCGAAGTCGTGTTGTCATGTGAATTCACGGTGTCAACTGCGCTAATAAGTCTATTTGCCGTTCTCAGTTCAAGCCGACTTGACGCAGTGCGTCACTTAACTACACCACGTGACGTGACATTGCTTGGCAGCATGTCTTGACACCGTGATGTCACGTGACGGATGATTTATCGTAGTGCCAAGACAAAGCGCCACGAAAACCCAGAATTTCTCGTACATTAGAATTCGGTACATGACAATCTGATTACTACATAGAAATACCAGCTGCCAATTTTTATTTCTCAAACATAATCCTTGTAATACATAAAAAAAAAATTGTGAATCTTTTTGATTTGGTTACCGTTCTATTTTTTTTTTTTTTTTTTTTTTTTCGGTTCAGTTTTAAGTTAGCGGCGAAGATTTCGGTTCGGTTCAGTTCCGGTTCGGCTAAAAATAACGGTCCGGTTCCGGTTTTCGGTTCGGTTCGACACTCTGGTCTTACCATCGGCTAAATCAGTCGCGCGAGAAAAAAAAAAAAAAAAAAAAAAAACGGCGCGGGATCATGACGCTTTTACTGTGCCTGTTTGGTTTACTCAGTGATAGGAAACGCACAAGGACAACTTGCGCCGTGACGATGCACTTTTGACGCTGTTTTCACTGGCCCCGTCGGACCGTAGCGAGTGGGCAATATGCAAACTAGCAGCGCCCCTAGCGGTTCAGGTGCACCCTGGGAGGAGGAGACTGTCAACGGGTAGTTTCGGTTTCGCCGGGTTGTGCATCGGTCGTCTGCTGTCGTCTCCGCACCGCCATTGCTGACGTTGTCGTAGATTGATAAAATGCTTCCAAATATCGCGAACCAAGCTGTTCAAAACAATGAATTCTTGCTGCATTGTATGCTTGCTATTCGCGTACCATATTGTCCGGTACCTTTCTGTCCAAAGGCGTTTGAGAAAAAGAGGGGGGGGGGGGGGGGGGAAAGTTGACACAATTTCAATACATGTTGACAAAGACTGGAGAGCTCACAGAACCATCTAGCAGAAATTGACGTCCCAGAGTTATATGACGTGGTCACGCCGATTTCCCCGCTAAATTTAGCCGGGAAATTGCCACCACGTGACTTGGTCACATGACGTGGTCGCGTGACATCGATTTCCCCGTTAAATATAGCCGAGACATTGATACGACTTGAAGTGACGTGACGTTAATTTCCCCGCTATATATAGCGGAAAAGTTGACATCGCGTGACTTAAGGTCACATGACGTGTTCACGACCACGTCACGTAAATTTAGCCGGGGAATCGACATCACGTGACAAGACGACTTTAGCGGGGAAATTGACGTGGCAGTTTTTCGTGAGGTACGTAAAAGCTGCTTTCCGTACGTGAGTACTCATCGGGAAGCAAAATTATGTTCGTTGAAGGCCGACGACCAAACCCGAGATTCTGCAAGGCAGAAGATCCTCCTCATTATGGGAGAGGAGGAAACAGGCAACGGGGGAGAGGGGAGGATCCGGGAAAAATTGGAGACAGCGCGAACTGCTCGGCAATCTTTAATATTTTTTTCCTCGTTTTTGCGGGGCTTTGTTTGCGGTTGTTTTTGTTCCTTTGTTTATTGTCTTCGGTGTGTCCCCACGAAGCAGTTGCTTTCTCGTGTAATTCTTCGGTTGTTTTGTTTTGTTCATGTTCGGTTCGCTCTTCTGTTTTCGCGCAGCGCGTGGGACTGAGGTGCGGACGAATTTGGATACGGACATCGCCATCGTCGCGTTGGAGACGGGCCCGCTATTCAGGTGAGATGGGTTCCGGGCCATTTTCTCTCGGATGGTGTACCGCGTGTCGTGACATCACGTTTCGACGTCACTATGTCATGTGACGTCACATGTTTCGCGCCAAGTTTAGGGGAGAAATTGCCCAGCCACGACGACACACGAAACACGCTTCGGGTTCCGACTGCCGCGCGAGCTCCGTAGCCTGGTTAATCGAGTCCTCGTGGATGGCGCGGGGTTCGAGCTTGCCTCATTTGGAAAACGTTGTTGGAAGGGATTCAAACATATAAGAAAGAAAAAAAAAAAAAAAGGTGGTGTTTGTAAACGTTTGTATTTCACGCATGACCGAACACGCGGATTCTCTTGAATGAAAAGACACCTTTTATGTTTCTATCTTTTTTTAGGGCTTATTTTGAATTTCGTACATTTCCCGATGAGCGGGGCACTCCTCGCAACCGCTTCTCTTCTCTGCGTATTGTGCAGGCGCGCGAATTTTGGGGGAGCACATCATCTGCGCGTTCGCGTAGCCTGTTCGCGAGTTCCTCGAATACATCTTCGTCGTCGCCGGTTTATCGTTAATTGCCGAGTTCCTGCGCCGCATTCTGTATTCGTGTTTATTTTTTTTACCCTTTATCTGTCCGCTCCAGATGATTTTTGTCTCGTCGTCGCGTTGTTGTGACAGGCGGTAAAAATTGCTTCTCTTTGTGTGTGAGCCTTACACGAGGGGACAATGTGAAGGGTACCAATGAAACCTTATCCTTTCTGCTTTTTGTGGAGGTTTTTGTTTTGTTTTGTTTGTTTTTTTAGGGGGAGGGGAAGGAAAAGGAGAGCAATCAGTGAACGATTTGCTTGCGCACCAGTGCCAACGTTGCGCCATGCAACGAAAACTCGCCCGATTCCGACTCGGCCTCGCCAACGAAACGACGTTGCGCTTCGGAGAAGAGGGGGAGGGGAAGACGGGAATCCAAACCCGAGAAAGAAATTGAAAACGGCACGAACCGAGAGATAAAAGCCCCTCTTCCCTTCCTCCCGTTTCGGAGGGGGGGGGGGGAGAAAAGGGAGGAGGGGGGTGGCCCCGCTCGGCGGAACAGCCCCGTACTCTCGCGCTCAGGCGTCCTCCTCGCCCTTCCCGCTCGCTGCGCCGGTCGGGAAGAGGTGGAGGGGTGCGCTCCTTGGCAAATCCGCTCCCCAGGTTCTTCTTTCACGTCTCTCATCCTCCCCTCCCCTTGCCCTCGTTGATTGCGCTCGGCAATGTTTGTTTCGAACGGTTTTCTTCCCTCCTCCCCGCTCCTCTCTCTCTCTCTCTCTCCACCCTTCGGGTTCTTCCTCTGCCTGCGAAAATCTCATTAGTTTAAACTGTAATGAACATTCTGGAAAGGAGCTTAAAATGGCCAGATGCGGGTTGCTGGGGGGAAGTAAGGATCTGGAGGGGGAGGGGAGGGGAGTTTGTTTTGCGTCTCCCATTTGCATCTTTCCCTCTCCCTTTCTTCCTTACTTTTTGTTTTCCCCCAGTTTCTTCAAATGCCCTTTCCCGTACTAATGCTTGTTGGGTTGAGTTGGTCTGCCTCGGAGCTTGATGGGAGGCAGGGTAAAATGGCCGACACAGCTTCCTTTGCTAACAACTGCCATTTGGGAGTGGGGGTGCCACCCGAATTTGCATATCTGGGTCTGTTGCACACTTCAGATCTTTGGGTTTGGCTGCGTGCTGTACAATTCAGACGAGGAGACATTGCGGCATGGTGAACTGCAAACGCTTGTTCACCGGCCCCGTTACCAACTTTTGGGGTGTTACGGCCTGTTCCCACATACAGCGCAGTGATACTGCAGTGCTCTTAGTCAGTGCTGGAAATAGCACGGAACTTGCTGATGCAGCGCTTACTTGGGGATACGTTAGTGACACAGCACTGATACATCCAGTGGAGTGTTCAGAAAGGGGGTCCGGATGTCCTGACGCCCCCCTCTTGAATTCTGCATGTGTGAATATTTAGAGCAGGGAAATTGGGGGGGGGGGGGGGGGAAGAAGAAAGAAGGATACACCACTGATACAGTGGTGTATCCTCCACCCCTGGATACACCACTGTATCAGTGATAAGTCAGCTTCGAGTCAACTAAAACTGTCTCCTTAATTGATGAGTTCTTAGACATTCCCACTTGCATTTTTTTCTTGTGTTTCTGCTCCTGACAGCCTTTGGTGATGTCTTGCTGGCGTTAGCTGCCCACCGACAAACCACGTGTCAGTCAGCAACCTGTCGCTCCGCCTTGTATCAGCACACTGAACCTAGGAACTGGATGCAAGGGGGACCAAAAAAATTACGCAACTGTGTAACTTTTACTGTGTCTAAACCACGGTTTATTGGAACTGGCAGTCAAAGAGCACAAATGGGGCTACAACCCGTCGTACAGCCTATGACTCAAGGTGCCTTTTTTACGGTGCAAAAGCAGCCACTATCATATGTTTCCGACGAAAAGGTCAACTTGCTAGGTGCTGGTGGCGATATATTGGGCTTGGTTATGGTGTAACGTTTGAGCCAAGCTGTGCATGTTAAACCCTATAACAGTTTATTTTGAATTTCCACTGCTTCATCTTCTGTCCGTGTCTTTTGGAAAGCAGAAGACAAGGACAGACTGTAAAGTGAACTCTGTGCAGAAATAAGTCGAATTTGAGAGGCTTGCAAGAAGGGTAAAGCAGAAATAAAAGAATGCTCCCTGTATGTCAGAAGAAAGTGTTTTGTGCTGTTCTCCACGGCACAATTGATGTGCAGACATGTCTATTGCTCAGTTCAGTCCTCTCTCGCTGCCATTGTGGACAGCACTTGTGCAACTCATGGCCAAAAGGAGAGGGCCTGCCTTTTCTTTTTTTGCGCTTAAAGGGTATCTCTATCGCCGGTACACCGCTTACTCCTTTTTGTGTTTGCGGAGTTGCAAAATAGAAAAATCCCATATTCAATCCTGAACGCAATACTCCAATTTGGGGGACGAAGGCGACGGAGAATTGCAACCCTTTTTCATGCTCCGTTTTGTTTTGATTTCTGCTTGGATTTGCTTGTGACGATAGCTCTAGTACGACTGCCGTAGAATGCTTCTGTACTCCATCTTTCCGAAACGTGGCAGACGGCGAAGGCTACAATCTCAGTGAACCAATCTGGGCATCGGAGGGAGACGCTTAACTATACTCTATCTCACTAGTTGTGCGCAGTGCTGTCAAAGCCACAGGCGGGAAAGAGAGGGAAACTGCTTTTTAAACGTTTAGGGTGATGGGCTAATCCTTTAAGGGAGAAAAGCGACCTCTGGGGCACTCAAAAAAGGGTCAGTGTAAGAGGAGAGTACCTCCTTCCCCTCTTCTCTAACTGCTCTCGCCCCTGTACCACTGCACTGATTGGCTCAAAGGGGTTGTAGCGTTCGCTCTTGCCTGGTTATAGTAAAAAAAAATGATAGATCCGACAGCTTTGCGTGGCCTGCATCGTTATCAAATTCCGTGCCTCACTTTTGTCGTCTGTCCCTTTATCACACAACTTCACATATTTTTCTTCCCCTTCTCCCCCGGACCCGAAAGACTTTTTAGCAGACCGATTTGCGAGTCATCGCTGAAAGTATACAACAGTCCCCGGAGCAGCTCATTTGCGGAAACAGGTTTCTTTTTTTGCACTCGCGTATCTCTGCCACACGAAGCAGATGTGAGTGACGTCACGGATTCGGTGCCATGTTTTGAGAACGCAAGGTCCTCCTTTCCATGTTTGCCTTGTGGTACAGCGTCTGCAGGTGACAACGACAGAACACTGCTGTCATTTGCGGAAATGAAAGAGCATCCGACTTTCTGACTTGCGTACCGATACCCCGCAGTGTCGTGGCCCCGTAAAATTTTGCAGGAGGCCGTGCCAAACTTGTTAAAAAGAACACTCCGCTGCTTTGTGAAAGTGCAGTGTGCAAAGGGGCCAAGGTGCAACCTTCCAGTATCCCCGTCACTGCCTTGGCATTTTCCTGCTCTTCTGGTGCCACTAAGTGACAGTGTGTGCAGGGTTGTCGGGACAGCTCCAGAAGACAGGTTCAGTTCATTTTGTTGTATTAATAATCATAGTAATAATAGTAACATATCTTCAGACCGCGAAGCCACTGCCTAAGGATTACCCATACCTTGTGGCAGGGTGCCTGGATATCTCGTCTGCCTAGAGTGGAGACATCCTTTATCCTATAGGAACTCTTTTGGTCCCTGCTGAAACAAACATATAAACTAGCTTTCAATGGTGAACAAGTATTAAAACACCAGTTGAAGCCATTCACTCGAGTTGACTGAGATGTGCTAGACTTTTTGCACCTTGCAAAAGCATTAATAAGAATTATTGGGCACTGCAGTAAATGAGATTTTGTAGAGTAATGTCTCATTAATATGTACCCCATTAATATGAATACCCCACTTTATAGACAACTTTTTTGGGGACGAACTGAGTAAATAGGTGCATTTTTGTCTTGCTATTATGAACAGCTCACATTATGGACACCTTTTGGAAGGAACGGAGGTATCTAGGTATAACAAGACATTACTGTATCATTCTACTGCTCTATGCTGGAAAGTAGACACACTACTTTTCATCATAGAGCAGTGTTGTGTGGTGGTTCTGCGTGACGATAATGTGGAGATGTTCCTTTTTGCAGATTACCAAAGGTGTTGTGAATTCGTTAGCTGAAGGATAAATAAGCCTCTTGCATTTCAAGCTATTAGGGATAGATGGGCCAAGCCTTTTCCAAATGAAACAGTCAGACTCGGCAAAACCAAACTTCCTAAAATATACAAAGAAAAGTTTGGTTGTTAAGTTCCTGCTGTATGAACATTTGTAGGACTTGTTTGCTTAGCTAGCTTAAAAATACCCGATATCTGCCCGGGCCTCTTGGATAAAAGGTGACAATTACTCTAGCCTAATTGGTCACTTTTCAAGGTACTGTTTAATGGCCATAAAGAAACTAATTTTTCAGGTGAAGCAATTGCAGTATAATGAGTAGTTGTCGGGCTCTCCCTCGAGCCTTGTATG